AGAGAGAGAGAGAGAGAGAGAGAGAGAGAGAGAGAGAGAGAGAGAGAGAGAGAGAGAGAGAGAGAGAGAGAGAGACACTCTCTCTCTCAGACACACACACAACCTCCTGATCACTCGGAAACAGTCTGCCACAATCATGTTTTTTTTTAGTGTATAGCGAATATGACGACAAAAAAAATAATAATAATAATAAAAAAAACCGGCAGTGTAACAACAACAGCCCCGCCCCCCTCTTCGTCCCTCTCCTCTGCCGCAGCGTGGCTACGGCAGGTCCACTTGTGCTTATAATAATTATAAAACACGGCCGCACACATGCATCCGTAGGACTCGATCAGACTACTAGCTTTAAACTTGCGTAGTGTGGCGGTCCCCCCTCCGGGCAAAGTGTGTTTGACCACTTTTCCGTCCCAGTCAAACTGAGGTTGTGCAACCGAGAGGTAGTACATACCTAACAAGATATCCGTAGGGAGATCATCGCTGACTAGGAACGAGACACGATGTCTCAATTCCCCTCCCGCATATGGGAAAGACACTCAATGTCTTTAAGGTAGTCGGTGACTACCATGTGCTGTTTGTTGGCATAGGTCGACTCCACAGGTCGACTCAGGCGTTGCACTTACCCCTGTAAACGCAACCTCTCAACGCACGCGCGACTAATCAAATTCTGCGTCGAGCAAGTATCATAATAGGCCTCGGCCTTGCGACCGCGGATGACTGCCTCGCCGACGTTTAGCCATGGCCGTCCAAGAAGCTAGTGGGTCTGATCTAGACCACTCCTCCTCTAGCTCCTCTAAGGATTCAAACACATTCCTCGAAGAGAGGATCTATGGGCTTTAATGTGTTTGCGGGACGACAACGGAGTCAGTAGCTTGGACCATCTCTCGAGATGGTGAGAGTGTGTACACCACCTCGACCCTAGTAGGAAGAACTACTATTCCTACTGGCCCGACGTGTTTCCTGGAGCAGTTCCATAACTACTAGCAACATTGGTACCTACGGGAGCGGAGGATCCGAGCGCCTGCCCCATCGTAGGCGGGATCTTTTCGGTCACCTTCTTATTGCGGCACTTGAACTGGTTATGGCCATATTGACCACAACGAATACAGGCCTGCCTGGTGTACCGGTCTCTCCACACGTCCTCACTGAGACCTGCTTTCTCCCATGGAGGAGCATTGGGTTCAACTTGACTCCTAGATCGAGGCCTCCGCGGCGGTGACCGGTTGCCTTGCCTTTTTGAACTGCTGCAGCAACTGCTCCACCCGCTGAAGCGTCTACGCTGACCGCCTCTGCACCTACTCCCTCATGGAAGTCGTCGTCCAATTTGATGGTGGAACCATCGTTGTTGATGAACATTATGTGCCCCTTCGCCTACCATCCGTAATGGGTTGGTGCCCGTGCCCTATCTTTGCATCCAGGTCTAGGGCCTTCTTGCTAAACGAGGGGAAGTTGTGCACATTGATGTTTGCCTCGCCTGCCAACTGATTCCTGAGTGGCATAGGGAGACATCTCAGGTAAGTGGTTAGCAAGACTTGGGGGTCATAGCGTACCCCAGGAACACAGATCAAACGCTCTACAGGATCTGTCGCATCCCTCACTGACTTGAACGGTCTGTTGCTCAACGCCAGGATTGCATCAGTGGCCTTTTGGGCCTCCTGAGGATCATGCCATCTTTCCTCCACCATCTTGAGGAAGTCTTCCAGTTTCTGGTTGACTGCCCAAGTGCGAAAGTCATGTCCGTATCCCTGCAGTTGCACTAACCCGCTTAACCATCTTGCTGCAGTCCCCTCTAAGTAGGATGCAGCCACCAACACTTCCTTATGCAGCAAGGTTAACTTGCACTTAACGTAGACCGACACTGACCTCAACCATGTGTCGAGGTCTTCGCCATTCTTATCCCCTGAAAAGGGTTTGGGTGAGGCAATGGCCATCTTTGGAACCCACTGTGTTTGTCCCGGTACCTGCACCATTCCGGGCTGTGGACCATGTTGCGCAGGTTGCTGCACTAGCTGCTGTTGGGCTTGTGTGCCCTGCGGTTGTGCTATCTGCGAGACAGCAGGCTGCCCAGTTACGGCAACGTGCGACGAAGGTTGGGAATATATTGTCTGTACAGGAATCTGTACACTAGGACCTGCTGAGAACCCTCCTGTCAATGGCATACCTAGGGAAACGGCTTGGACCGATGCTGGAACAATGTAGGGGATACCCCAGTCATCGGTGGGACAGAAGGATGAGGTTGTACCACGGGCCAGGCACCAGGCCCTGATGGTGATGGTGTCGCTTGAGCTCGCCTGGCCGTGCTGCTCTGCTGGATGTCCTGCAAAAGAGTTGTCTGGTGGTCCTGCATTTCTACTACATCTAGCAGGAGTGACCGCAGTGTCCTCACATCATCCTCCATGTTTGTCAGGCCAAACCCCTCTAACTCACTAACGTCCGCTTGTCTCTGCTGCATTCTTGCTCTTCTTTTAATCATTCTTTCTTTCTCCGCCTTTATTTCCCCTAAAGCCTTCTGTAATTGTGCCTCGTGAAGTACTGCTTGCTGTATGGCGACCTCTTCAGGGGTCAACACTATTGGCTGGCTTGCCATAACGCCAGTGGACTGATTCAGGGTCTGCACAATCGTTGACCCTATGGTCCTTGAACTGCTGGCCTGAGAACTCTGCTGCGTAGCAGTTGCCATGGCTGCTGAAGCAGCGGCTTCGCTTGCGAATGCCCTGCTGGCCTCTACTGCCCTAGCTCTCCGCTGCTGCTGCTGTCTCTCCCTAAGCCGGCGGAACAGTAACCTGTCACCCTCGAGTCCTAATGCCACGTGGGCTATCGGGCATCTAGCCGATCGCAAGATCCTGTCGTCCTTGCTAGTGGTCTCCCTGTCGCTCATAAGCTACAAAACTATACACAATTTGCACACACTCGATGCCTACCGTAGCGTAATGCACAGACCGATTTCAATCGGTGGCTAAGTCAGAGTAAATACAATTGGGTCCAATAGGTAGTTCAGATTCCTACAAACGAAACTATTTTTAATTAATTAGTCCACGAACAGAAAGCATTTAAGTAATTGTTGTCTGTTAGATGTCAATGGCAGTCCATCTAACTAATCAAAATAAAAATAGCATCGTCTGTGTGGATATTTGCAGAGTGAAATTGAGCACGAACTTATCACATGAAATCTACCTCTCCCTCAGTTCCTCTTGGTAGTCACTTGACGTCAAGGTCCCTGAGCGATCCATAATAGCGTTGTCGCACTTTTTTTAGGCGACCAGAAAGCCAGCAGGCTGTCACATAGGATTTTGGATGACTTTTGTAATAAATAAAATAAAATAAATAAAGCAAATCCCTTTTTGTTGTGTGCGTCCGGCTTCGAGCGAGACACTTCAATTGCGGTCTTCGCCGGTCCCCGGTCTTAGGAATCTTTTATTTTGATTCAGAACAGCAAAGAATCATGCAAATAATAATCATAAAATTATGGTATGTCATGCATGTATCGATTTTGCAATTTTTACCTGAGTACGGACGCCGCCCGGCTGGGCCTGCCCGTCCGGGCTACGCCCGGCCGGGCGGGGCCCGGGCAGGTCGCCCGGGCAAACCGGACGGGCCAAAAAACAGGCCAGAATTTTTTTTATTTTTTTTTTGAGGGCGGGGTCGTGCTGTGCTCGGCGAGGGGACCCCGAATCTGCAATAAAATTTTAGTTTGGGTGTGGGGGGGGGCGGGTGGTCTGGTGTGAGGG